AACAGGAACACAACTTGAAAACTTGAAGAGTTTTTGGAAGCAACTTGACATATTAATTGGAGCAGATTACTTCTTCAAATTTGTGGAATTCAACAACATTCAAGAACTAAATTCTGGATTCATACTGTTACAAACAAAAGTGGGACCGATGATTGCTGGAAGTGACGACATCAATAAACTTTGCCAAGCGAATACTAAACAACTATCCAGATCAGTCTGTGCAGCCAATGTAAATTCTTGCTCGGAATTAGAAACTTTCTAGAAATTAGAACTCATGGGAATCAATGACCAACCTAATGCTAATGATGATGAAGAGGCATTAAAACAATTCAAGAAGTCAATAATCAAGTGTAATGGAAGATATAGAGTTCGTTGGCCATGGAAAGAAATTAAGGGCAAGTTGAGCAACAATTACGGTTTATGTCTTAATCGTTTGAAGAATCTCATCAAACGCTTACAAGATTACTCAATTCTTGACCGATATGACAACATAATAAAGGAACAAGAACAATTGGGTATAATTGAACAAGTGGATCCCGATGATAAGGTAGGCATTATTCATTATCTACCTCACCATGGGGTATTAACTCCTAATAAATCAACCACAAAATTACGAGTCGTTTATGATGCGTCAGCGCATATTAGAAACTTCAAAAGCTTAAATGAAGCGTTGTACAGAGGACCCGTTTTGCTACCGAATATATTGGGAGTATTACTACGTTTTAGAATGATGAGAAGTGTAATATTAGCCGATATCGAAAAGGCGTTTTTACAAATCGAAATACATCCAGAAGATAGGAATTGTACTCGATTCCTTTGGCTACATAATCCAAAACAAGGTGTAGCAGAAGGAAATTTAAAGTGTTATCGATTTAAAAGAGTACCTTTCATAGTAATTTCATCGCCCTTTCTACTATCAGCTACAATTAACTTTCACTTAGAGGGATATGACCACGAGCCAGCAGCAGAAATAAGAAAAAATATTTATGCTGATAACATAATTCTATCTGCCAAGAATACAGAGGATGCCTTATTTAAGTACGAACAAACAAAACTTATTTTTGAAAGGGCAGCTATGAATATTAGAGAATTTATTTCGAATGATCTCGAATTCAATGAAAGAATACCCAATCACGACAAGGCTAATTCGAACAAAAGTAGTTTTCTTGGCATTAATTTATGATTTGGACGTAATTCGTATAACACTTAAACCATGGAATGAAAAGGAAATAACCAAGAGAACTATCTTGCAATTTGTTGCATCACAGTATGATCCTCTAGGTTTTTTAGTCCCTTCAATGATTACATGCAAATTATTTCTTCAACTTTTGTGGAAACAAAACAAATCGTGGGACCAGCCTTTAACCCATCAGGAAGAAAACCAATGGAAATCAATGTTGCAAGGCTGGCCAAAGAATATAATAGACCTACCTCGATTTGTAATAAACCCATCAAATCAATTAGAAATACATGCATTTTCGGATGCTTCAGATAAAGCATACACAGCAGCAGTCTATGTTCTCAATATCAAAAAATGCGGTAAGAACTCAACATTTCTTATTTATGCTAAGTCACGTATTGCCCCAGTTAAATCAATTACTGTGTCTCGTTTAGAATTACTTCCAGTATTAATTGGGGTAAAAGCTACACAATTTGTATTGAAGCAATTAGAATTAAAGGATGTACCAGTAACGCTTTGGTCTGATTCTAAATGCACTCTATTCTGGATCAAAAATCACTCGGAACTACTCCCTCGATTTGTACAGAATCGAGTCGAAGAGATACAACAGGCAGATTTCGCCTTTCGATATATTCCAAGTGTACACAATCCAGTGGACGTTGCTACTAGAGGAATTCCACCAAGTAAACTCAAAACTTATCAACCATGGTGGAAAGGTCCGCAATGGCTGATGGAGGAGAAAGATAAATGGCCACAATGGGAATTCAAATATCAAGAAGACGACGAAACTAATAAGGTAATTATGACTACTATTACTTTTAAACTAGAGAAGTTTCAAATTATAGATGAAAAACGTTTTAGTAATTGGACTCGCATGCTAAGAGCAACAGTATGGGTACTTCGATTCATTACATTAACTTTCAAAGGAGAAATAGCGTGGTTGAAATCACTATCTACTCATAAAAATTATATGAATATGGAAAACTATGAAATAACAAAAAGAATATTACTTCGTCAAGCACAATCTGATGGATTGACTGAAGACCAAATAAGAATATGGAATTTGTATTATGATGAAACCGACAAATTATGGAGAGCGACAAGCCGTTTAGAGAATGCGGAAATAACCAATGAAAGTAAGTTCCCAATCTATCTACCAAGTCATCATCATATTACTGGACTTATCATCAAAGGAAAACATGAAGAACTATATCATGCTGGAATTGGTCATACTCTCTGTGAATTAAGGCAAAATTTTCGGATACCAAAAGGTAGATCAACAGTTAAACGGATTATCAATGGATGTTTTGCTTGTCGAAGATGGAGAACTAAACCATACAAATTACCACCAATGCCAAACTTACCAGAAACGCGTGTAAAGAGATCAAAACCTTTTGAACAGGTTGGTCTTGATTATATGGGTCCAATCACCGTCAAACATAACAATAAGAAGTTCAAAAGATGGATAGCACTCTTTACATGTTTTACAACTAGAGCAATCCATCTCGAGTTGGTTGAAAACCTATCGGCAGAAAGCTTCATGCATGTATTACGATTTATCTCACGTAGAGGATGTCCCAAACTTGTTCTCAGTGATAACGCCAGTCAATTTCAACTGGTATTCAAATTAATGATGGAACAAAATGGGAACTTCCTAGCCTCGAAAGGGATAGTATGGAAAAATATTGTACCGAAGGCGCCGTGGAGCGGTGGTGTATATGAAAAAATGATTGGATTAACCAAGAAAGCACTTCGAAGAGCGATAGGTAGGAAGTTATTATGGGAACGAGAATTGATTACATTAATAACCGAAGTAGAAGGTATACTTAATAGTCGTCCCCTAACATATTTAAATTTTGATGATTATAAAATTATAAGACCCATCAATTTCATCTCTCCTAATGTTCCATCCAATGTACCAAGTAACCAGGATTGTGACCGAGAAGAATTTATACTTCATTCACCAAATACTGGAGATAAACTAATTAATTACTGGTCAAATACCCTCAAAACTTTAGGTGTATTTTGGGAAAACTGGAAGAACGAATATCTTATTAATTTGAGAGAACGAACACAAAGGGAATTGGCTTCAGCGAGATTAGTTGACAAACGCATTCCGCGTGCTGGAGAAATAGTTCTATTAAACGAACCAGAATTACCCCGAGGCACGTGGAAATTAGTAAGAATAGAAACACTTAAATTAGATAGTGATGGAAATATAAGAAGTGCAACGGTGAAAACTTCAAGCGGCAAACTTCTCAATAGACCAATCTACTTTATCCTATGGAAGTGAATGAAGAAGATAGTGACGAAGTTCGAACAACAAAATCAAAAGATGAAACTGATGACGGACCAATAGGATCGCGTACTCGAGGAGCGGAAAGAAAACAGAAACTACTGCAAACAAGTATGGTACAAAGGGCAAGTTCAATAACGTTAATGGTTACCATTACTTTTTCATTACTGATACACGTTACTTTAGCAGGTAACCTGATATTACAAAGGGATGATATAATGGTAAAAGGGATTAATAGAACTTTGTCCATAGCTCCTTGTAAGCTAAAAATCGATGTTCCCAAATCAACTAAATTGATCATCG